ACAACGCGAATGCGACACGTCAAAAACACACTTTACCGACTCCCTGGCCTCTGGAGAGTTTCTGTCTAAATTCACGACGGCGCCCTTTGCTCTGCCGTGTCGATAAACACTAACGGCATAGAACGAGGCTGACTGTTTAACTAACCCTACCGTGCTAGATCTCAACGTTGTAAATATAAACAAACGTTTTGTGACAACCGTCCCAGCACCCAGGTGTTGTATCCAGTTTCGCGCTGGCCCTGCCGCACTCAATGACGCCAGTGTTTTGAATCGTATTTGACAGCGATATTGCCAATACACGTTATTTCTCTGAGGCGAGCTTTTTCCGGAGCAAGAGCGAGAGTGCGAGCGGGTGGCTTGTATACGTATGCAAGGTCGTGCCTTGGAAGCTCTGGAAAGGGAAGGTACTCTAGGAGGGAGGAAGGAACAGGCGAAGGAAGGAAGGAAGGGACGGGGGAAGTCAAGGTAGGGATAGGGCGGTTTACGCTTGGGCCAGGCGTTCTTGACGTTTTCGATTCCTCAAAGGGAGATGCGGGGGGTGTGAGTGGTTGGTTAGGTAGATGGGGAGATGTTGTTTGAAGCGCGCGGGATGGGGAAGGCGCGTTTATCGCAACATGTAAAGTTTAGTATGTTCGTAGAAACAGATCATCGTCGAAAGAAACACTAAGCGCGCTACTATCCTTTACAATCCACTTCCCATCTACACCACCCGTCTACCTTCCATCTCCATCGAAGCGCCCGCATCCGTCGTCAATCCCTCGCTTACATCTGAAACACATTCCCCCATCCCTAATCCATACGTACCTGGTCGATCCATCCCCATCCATATCCATAGACGCGCCCGTATATTACCCAGATCGTCATATAGCCAGGACCGAGCTATACCACACACCTCTCTCGATTTCCATTCAGATCGCCGACTTCGCGCTCTCATCCGCTTAGCCCTGTCGCCTTCGGTTCATTCCTCACCTTCGGTTGCAGCATCCGAAATGCGAGCTGCGCGCGCCGATTGCAGATTGGGTATATGAAGTGGCACTTTGTACCTGCGTCTCGCGTGCGTACGTGAGCGATGATGTCGGTCCTGCGCGTTCCTGCATTGGAACAATTTATACTTCTGCTCGATTGAGCGACTCGGGTAGGATGGAGAAGGGTAAGTGGGTGTGCTGTGTATATCGACGACAATGGATATGGATGGAGTTGGGCGAAGGTGTGGAAGTATTGGTGATCTGGACTAGACGGTGGCCATTCTTGTAGAGGGTAATATCGACAAGGTAGTAGTAATGTGGTATATGTCCAAGACGGGAGATATTAGGCGAGCAAGGGATGAGGAAATGGGAGTTAATATAGTTGCGGTTGTATACATGTATGCACGTGTGAGGGGTTGGCATGGCATCGGTTGTCGCGTGCGCTTCTTTGATATCTCGATGATGAGATTACTACGTGTGGGTGATGACGTGCATAGATTCGATATTCTGTTCGCAGAGACGAAATGAGTACAGTATGCAGGTACAGACGGCGCACAACTCCGATGCGTATGAGAAGGAGTAGAACTTTTGAATGATGGTATTGGTAGGATATATTCCCTTCAGTAAACCGCAGATACGCCATGCTTGCAATACATGTCGCCCAAGCAGCGACCTCACACAACATCAAACGCCAAAGTAAAAGCCCACCCCAAAATGCTGTGGTATCAAGAAAGGATAAGGGAAAACGGATGATAGTCTGCCAAGGCAGAAAAGGTATATCAATGCTAAGCTCATTGCTCACCACCCCACCCAGAACGCCATATATGCTCGAGATAAGAGTCAAGGAGATGGATGCCTTGCTACGGCGCCACGGAGTCTTCGACGGAGAGAAGCTAACCCACCATGTCGCAATCACTTTTGCAGTCGGAGCAGGTCCAGTCGCGTGGTTTGTGGGTTGGTGTTACTGAGTGGGTGTCCTGTTGGGCGCATGCCCAGTGGAAGATTTGTCGTACGCAGTCCTGTCGAGATGTTAGTTAATGATGCTATTGTGGGGTTTCCAATGCTTACGGTGTCGTTACAGGTGATGATACCCGACCCTGGCGTCGCCGATGCATCTTGGCCACAGTAACATAAGCCGTATGGTGGATCGTCGACTTCATTTTGAGGTGTTTCCAGTGGCTGTTCAACTTCCTGTGGCGGTGCTTCGCCCATGTCCACATCACCATCAGGGTCTGGGGTGGTAGGAGTCATGTAGCCGTTAAGTGCTCGTGAAGACCTGTCAATATCGCCTAGAACGTCGGCAAGAACATCGTCAAAGGAGTCGTCAAGATCTAGGGCTCTTGCTTTCCCCTTCCCCTTCCTGTTTCTTTTCAGCGCAGACCTCGTATGCGCCCTTAGTCCAGTAGAGCCAACAGAGGTCTCCTGGTTTTGAACATCGAGCTGTTCCAATCGCTGAGACAACACGTTGGCTTCATGAATGTTTATCTCCTGGTCGTTGACTATCTCCAAGGCTTTGCTGTGTACGTCCTTGGAGATAATATCTTCCTCTAATAATTCATCGAGCTTTTGTGTGAATTCGCCCATGATACCGTCCCGCCATATCCGTACACCGCATTCTCGTGCGAACCGAACGATGGCGTCTCCAACATGTATGTCTGATTGCAGGCTCTCTTCGTGCATAAAGTCATCGAAGAGTTTTATGAACCGTCTGGCAGATTCTGATAAGTTTGCTTTGTCGATTTCTGCGTGCTTCCAGCGATACAGCCATTCTTCGTCAAGCTCGTCATCGCTCTCACTGATCTCTTCGCCAGGCTGAAGAGGTCTTCTGCTGAGTGATCGGAAGAAAGTGATACCTTTCGGAGGTGTCGGTACAATGAATCTTTTCTTCTCCCTTTCTGGTCTAGACTGCACTTGGTCTGGAGGTTTGCGTATCCTTGGTGGAGGCGCGACTTGCTGACCACTTGGCGCAAGTTTCGATCTCGCGTTTCTGGTAGCTTTCCCAAGTCTCGCAGCTCTTTCAAACTCGTTATCGCCTGCCAAGAATCTTCGTCTGTCGAATGGTTTGGGTGGTGCAAGTACGCGCACATCGTAAGGTTCGTCAGCATTGTCGCTTGCACGTTGACGCTGTTCTGTTCTGTAATTCGCCACCTCACTCTCGAATCGCCAGTGCTCCACCCCGTGCTCGTCGACCTGCTCAAGGAAGACCTGGTAATCGAAATAGTCGTGCCAACTTATTAGATGCATCTTGAGATCGTCAATATCAGTGGTTTTTCTCTTCGAGCAATGCGGGCACACGAGCTCTGATCGTTCAAGGGTATCATTCCCGTACACAAATGTGAGTTTGTAGCGGGGTTCCATGTCGAGAGGTGGTGTAGGATATGAGCTGGGAGGCTGCATAGAGCTTTTCAGGTGACGGTTGTAGCTTGTCAAGACCGAGTCTCTTTTGAGCGGGATCCAATGCATACTGACTTCTAACCCGATACCGAGCTGTTTCCCAGATGCTTTCAGCGGTAAGATCATCCTTCCCTGTGGCACATCGAAGATGTTCCCATACGACGTGGAAAGACGAGCTGATGCATCCGAGATTTTGACGCCCATGAAATCGTATAGGTCCTTGACGTTGTCGTGGGTCTCGAAGTTGATACTCATCATGATCATGTGAATATCGTTATCATCGATCTTGGTGGGATCAGTGTACCAGCTCTCTCGATCAATGACAATGGGCTCCACTTCGATTGAGGCTTCCTTTTCCGATCTATCGAACCCTCGCAGTGTTGCTTCCTGATCTGGGGGATTCTTGCAGGTGGGCATGGTCGACGATGAAACGATTGACGTTTTGATGGAGGTCGTTAATCGTAAGATATTCCGCACTTTCCGCGCTGGATCATTCAATCGATCATTTTGAGAAGCTTCTGGGGCGTTCAGCGGCCGGATACTGTGCACCTCAAGAACGAAGGATCCCCCAGATTTTTCTGCTGAGATCATATCGTCTAGTAGATCCCAGGATGGAGGTTGCCACTGGGAGCGAAAGCGGGGTCCTGTCTGTGAATACTGATCTTCGCTTTGGCAATGCGAGAGGCCCTGCTGCACTTGTTTCCGGTTTCGCTCCAGGAACGGTAATCTCTTCGTCTTATACAGGTAGTCGTAGAAGATGATGTTGCCGAAAAACCTGTCTCGCCGTTCTAGCATGCTCTGCCAGTGCACATGCATGTTAGAGGATGTCTCATCTGTTGAGAAACTATGGTTCTTACAGAATTGATTGGTTGCTCAGTTGCATCCTACAGCAACCGAGAATGTGTGGTGAGAGCGCACATTGGTGGGATCAGGTGAGAGAAGATGGAGTTTGCTGCGGTCCTGCGCTGCTGTTCAGAGCGGCGTTGCGGATGGAGATTGGGCGCGGAAGTGAAGATCGCGAGAAAGCAGGGTTGTTGTTGTTTCTAGCGGTCTGACGCCCCTGGCCTGCGTGCGTCTGTCCCACGATATAACAAGACGCGCAACAATTACGCAAATTGCGCCTTTTGCTTTGGAATTGGCCGACAAAGAGTTGAATGTCTTGTGTTGATGGGTTCGTGTTTGTTGTTTCGCAGAGGTTTGTGGCGCGCGACGGCTACAAGGGACGACGCGATAGCGCACAAGCAGACAGCGCTCAGGCGGCGAGATGCTGGATCGCAACTTTCTGCGAGGCTTGCAGTGCAGCAATGCGAACACGACGGACACCCCACACTCCTGACGGGTGTGTGCAGGCAAAGGTGTGTTGTGGCATGTGTCACGTGCACGGGCGACACGGCTAAGCCGCATCGGCTGGCGGATCCCGGATGATCTCATTGATCCTCTTACCTCCGAAGGCCGCATGCATCGACATTTCACTATCGCAACACTCACTCTCAGTCCTCACACTTCTGACTCACACTTTGACCTGCTCCATGCACCTCCGCGACTGCATCCGAGGGCTTAGGAGCCCCTTATAGACAGGACTCACGGCCAATCAGTCTGCGAGCTGGCCCCCCATAGTCACTGGACCCTACCTTGTGCGACATGGCCGTCACACTGAAGCGCAAACGCGGCGCAGTCTCGTATAAAGAGCCGAGCAGCGACGAAGATCTCTCCGAAGGCTCCGGCTATGAGCAGACGACAAGAAAGCGCACTGTCCCTACTCGACGATCAACTCGCCGCCCACCAGCCGAGGATGAAGCCGCCAGCGAGAGCGATCACTCTCCACCAGAACCTGCCCCTATCAAGCAGCAACGCGGCTCACGAAGCTCACGAATTCGAGGAGCCCCACGGATATCATACAAAGATGTGAGCTCAGACGAGGAAGACGAAGAGGACCCCGATGCCGACTTCGAGCTGGAGGATGAGCGCGTCATGACAGTGAGGACAAGGTCGCGCCCGGTTGCAGCGCCATCACCACGACCAGAGAAGACAGGAGGTGCCAAAGGGAGTAGATCGCGACGGAAAGCCGTCATAGGCGCACCGCTGAAGCCAAACAAGGAGGCTCAAGTCGAGCGCAAGACGACTATCCCCTCTGATGGACACAAGCCGGTATGTCTTCTGTACCTGATGGATCGATCAATGCTAATTCTCAAATTCAGGCCTGGGCTTCCCTGCCATATCACGTACTCCTCCAGATCTTCGTGTACGCCTCCCATCCGCTCCACGACGAGAACATGAAGCCCACCGCATCGATACCGTGGCTTGTGCAGATGGCCAGGATGTGCTCAACGTTCACAAAACCGGCTCTGACGGCTCTGTACCGCAACCCGCCCATATTCGCTATCAGACAGACGCGCAAAGACCTCGTTCACCATCTGATCACTCCTCCACCAGGGGCCCACGATGACTATCGGGTCATGGTCAAAAGATTGGAGCTGGATGCTACACAGATGACTGCTTTGACGGATCACGCAAACAGCGTGCATGACCTTGCAGCCCTAGTCCGGTCATTGACGACACTGCGGGAGATTGACATCTTTGATCCAATGGATCGCCCACCCTTTCGCCCGCGGCTTAGACGACTTCGGCGCTGGGTATATCCTACCGAGCTCTTTGATGCGCTTCGCCAGACCAGCCTCCGCTTGAGGAGTTGGCGATGGAACAGCACGTTTTGTAGCCAAGGACCTCTATGGATCAAGACGATCCACGAAGGAACAGCATTTCAAAGCCTCCGCGATGTGTCTCTCGTCAAATTCCACCCCGAAGTTGTTCGCGAGGATCCAGAAGAGGACAACGGTCGACCGACAGTGGAAGAGCTGCTAGCATCTGCGTTGGCCGTGCTCCCTAATCTCCGAAGTCTATCCTTCGAGACTTGTGGTGTTGTCAGCGGGCGTCTCCTCCCATTACTGCCCACTGATCTCACCAGCCTCAGTATCATCAATTGCGGCGAGCTACTCTCTGATGCATTCCAGGCTTTTCTGGCAACACATGGCTCTCACCTCGAGGAGCTGACCCTCAATCACAATCAGGCTCTCGACATGTCATTCCTAGTCGACTTGAAGCGTTCTTGCCCTAAGCTCGAGGTCCTCAGAATGGATGCTACCTACTACAGCTCCCTTGTCATGTCCTCGGATAACGAGCCTCTTTACGAGACCCTTCTTGGCGAGAACGAAATGCCCACCTGGCCAACATCACTCCGTACCCTTGACTGCCAGTACTTGCGGAACTGGAATTCGAAGTCTGCAGACAACTTCTTCAGCTCGCTCATCAACTCTGCTGAAGAACTTCCCCGGCTTCAGGAGATCACTATCATCGCAATGGTGGACACCGACTGGCGGCAGAGAGCCGAGTTCAGACAGAAGTGGACTGCCAAGTTCAGAAAGGTCTTTGCCAGAAAGTGGGAAACACCTGATCCCAGTCTTGCGTCTCTCAGAGCCTTTAGAGAATGGAAGGCTCGCGGCGACGACGGGGACAAGGTGGACTCTTTCATTGAAGGCGTCTCTGAAGAAATGGCAGAGAAGGCTGACCCGGTCATGGCAGACGACGCTAATGGTAGCGAAAGTGACGCTCCTCTGTTACCGTCACGCGTGCAGAAGCAGGACGAACGCTGGGGTTCGAAGCGTCTTCGTTCTCGCTCAAAAGCAGCTCTAAGCTACGATGAGGAGTCCAACGAAGATGCTGCCTCGGAGGAAGAGGCGGCTTCAGATGAAGAAGAGCCTGTTGTGCAAGGTCGATGCCACACCGTCATCTTCCGCATCGACAACTTCCGACCACGCGAGGAAATCTTCAACGAGGCCGACTTCCTTGACGCAGAGCCCAGTGGGGATGAGGAGTGGAACGGCAACGATAACGAAAATGACGATGGAGGCGGGTATGCGTGGTGATCCACTTTCATCAAGGAGTAATCTTGGGTGTTTGGGTTTCAGGTGCGGGTATGACGTCTTGTACAGATATGACAGGCGTCGGGCTTTGGGATTCATGCTCGGATCAAGACAGGAACTATGCATTAGGGAGGCGTTTATGTGGTTGGTTATTGAGATATCCGTGTGTTAGTATTGGGTTGCATCGGGCGCAAAGGTCGGGCTCTAGGAACCGTTTGGCAGCTGTCTCAGCCACATGTAGAAGCCAGCCATGCCAAGCGATCATCGGGTTTGCCGTGTGAATGTGATTAGCTTGTTTGTGATAGCAGCGATGCAAGGCAGCTGAAGAAACACATTCGCGCGCGAGACATGCGTCACTCGAGTGACTGCGCAAGTGCACAGCCTCGCAGAGCGTCCCAGCATCCTGGCCAATCCCCACCATGACCGCTAACAAGGACCACCCGCCCATTGCTGCTCGCACTCCTGTCATATAACCGCTGGCTGCGATGTGTTGATATTTCCGGCCGCCTCTCTTCCTATACTGAATCTCTCTTATATTCTTCCTCCTCCCTTCCTATCGCATCCCCCCTTTGTACCCCGCCATCCCCTGCTCTCCACACCAACGACATGGCGGTACCCACACCTCCCATCCCGCCTGTCTCGCCAGACTCGGGCCCTACCGACCCTACGCTTCCCAAGCTGCCCGCTGGCTGGATAGCGCAGTGGGATAACTCGTACGTCTCTCTCTCAAGCACAATAGAAGACACGCTGGCTGCCCCGCCTTCGCACTGGATGCCCCGCGACACGAAACTGACATAGACCACAGATCCCGAAAGTATTACTGTACGTAGCCTTGGCCGCATCATCGCGCGATTTATCTTCCCAACGACGCCTCGACCCGCGAACGAAGCAAAACATACTGACTCCGCCGCGATAGATGTCCAGATCAGCACCGGCGTCTCGCAATGGGAACTGCCCACGAGCGAAGCGCCCGTCGGCGGCTCCTCGTCCCACAGCACACCCGCGCAACAGACGAACCCATACAACGTCCCCGGCACCTCAGGCCCCGATGCAGGCGACGGACAAAGAGGCATGGGCGACGGCCCGACTGGCGACAGGGCAGGTGGATTGGGTGTACGCGACATGCTACTTGGGCATCAATCGGGCGCTGGCTGACAATGGAAATAGGGCTTCGCGATGAACGCGCTCATGGGCAACAAGCAGAGTAATAGTGGACATGGCGGCGGTGGCTCGGGAAACCTCGTCGGTCAACTCGCTGGATCGTTCCTCGGAGGTGGGAAACAACATGGTGGTTCTTCTGGGGGTCATTCTGGTGGTGGTGGTGCGGGTCAGCTTGTTGGACAGCTGGCTAGTGGTCTGCTAGGCGGTGGCAAGCAGCATGGAAGTTCTGGAGGTCAACATGGCGGCAGCGCTGGCCACGCATCGAGCGGTGGTGGTGGTCTTGGAGGCATGCTTGGAAGCGTCCTCGGTGGAGGATCATCGGTATGGACATGAGCCTCGACTCACAGAAACGCGCTGACAACATCAAGCACAACAAGCCCAACAACGGCGACTACGGCTACTCCGGTGCCTCGTCAGGCGGCACCTACACCGGCACCGCGCCGCCAACGTCCTACAACCCCAGCGCTCAAGGCGGCCAATACGGCAGCGGCGCTCCAAGCCACGGTTACTCATCTCCCGGTCCTGGACAGCAATACGGTCAGGGTCAAGCCCACGGAGGCTACGGCGGACAGCACTCTCCGCCCCAACAGCAGCAGCACGGCCAACACGGCCAGCACCAAAGCTACGGCTCGCAAGCTGGATTCGGTGGACAGTCAGGATACGGTGGGCCAGCGCCAGGCTACGGTCAAGGACCACCGGCAGGCGGCCCACCAGGCGGCTACGGACAACAAGGTATGAACAACGTATCCGCCAAAGGGAAAGACGTGAGAACTAACATTCATCTAGCTGGCTACGGAGGTCCGGCATACGGCGCACCAACCGGTCCCTACGGCGGCGCCGCAAACTACGATAACCACCAGCACAACCAGTACGGCGGTGCTCCCACGCACGCCAATCAATACGGAGGCGGCCAACAGTATCCTCCTCCACCTGGTGGCCATCAGGCTGGGTACGGAGGCCCGCCGAGTCACCACACTCCTCAGCCGGGTTGGCAGTAAATCTATCGCTCTCGATCGGCCGAATCGTTGCGCGGTGCTTAGATAAAGAATACACGGGTCTTGGGTAGATTGCGGTATAGCGGTATGGCGATGAGAGACAGAAACGGACGGTGTTCAGCGTTTTGAACATCGTATCTTGGTCTTGCTAGAGAGAGATACCTTTCTGAACTGTGTAGATTGAATAATCTTTGTTCTCTTCCTGAGTCCTGCCTGGTCTTCTTCTGGTGATTTGGCAAAGCAGTGTCTGTGGCTCTTTGGTATCGGGACTGATCTTGATGGGTAGGTCCGGCCGTAATATCGGCTTCGATCGCGGCCTTTTCCTTCCTTTGTTGCTACCCCTCGCTTGACTGGCGACTGTGTAGTCCGAGGGCCGGTGACTGCGCGTCTCGGGGTGGTGTCAAGAATTGGCGATCTGACGTGTCTCTCTTCTCGACCGCGCTGTTCGCCCTCTTTCCCCTAGCTATGCGCACATCTTTCCACATAGCCCTCACCGCGCACCACCATGCCCATTCAACTCGTATATACCATCATCCTCATACACCCCTCAACCACCCCTCACCCAAACAACTCCCCTCCATCCCCACTCCCACTCCCACCCAAACACCCCAACACACCCCCCTCCCCCACAACCCTCCACGCAACTCCCACCCTCCCCACTCCTTGTCCCACCCCTTCAACCCTAGGCACCTCATCCCCCTCACAACTCCCCACCCACCCACTCAAACTCGCCCGGAACCCACGCGCATCCTGCCGCGGAATCCTTACCCACACTTCGCGGCCGAGTATCTTGAGTATGTCGATGGGGATCGCGGCGCCGGTTTGACCGAGGTAGGCGCGTAGGGGGGCGGTGAGGAGGGTTGAGGTTAGGAGGGGGGAGATGGAGGGGGAGGGTGTGGGAGGAGATGGGTTGCATGGGGTGGTGGAGGTGGGAGGTAAGGAAGCGGTTCCTGGTGTGAGGAGGATGAGGTGGAAGTAACTCCAAGTTGTTTTGCGGAATGTGGTCTGGTGGAGGATGTGGGTTTGTTTTTCGGAGGGCTTGTCTTTGCGTTTGCGTTTTTTGGTGGTTGGGGTGTTTGGGGTGGGAGGTGCGTCGGGTAGGGCTGTGTCTGCGTCGTCGGGGATGGGCGCGTTTGAAGATGTTGAGGTGTTTGGTTCGGCGGTCGCGGACGTCGTATGAGCCGTCTGGGTAGCTATTGGCGCCATATCGAGGGCGTGTGGGTGTGCGCGCGTCTTGACTTTTCGTGTCGCAGTGTTGGAGCTCCGAGGTATCTTGACGCGAAACTTTTGGCGGGGTTAACTAGCGCGGTTTCCTTACCTCCGGTCCTCGCGTCTCTGAAGATTCAGAGACAGTTGGTATTGAAGAAGTTGGTAATCTGCTTTGGGAAGGTATGTCTTGATGAAGGTCGATGGGTTCTAGATCTCCGAGATGCCCAAAGTCTGCTACACGATATCGAGACTAAAGTTCAGTGTTTACTAACAAGAACTCGATAGATATTGAGCATCATCGTCATTACTTCCTATCAAAAGACCAGATACGACTATTCAACGCCTTTGAGCTCCGCTTTATCCATCCCAGGCCATTACTCATCCTTCACATCGTCATCGCAGGTCCACAAGTCCATGACTTATACAGTGTCTCAAGAGTGGAAAACCTTCTCCAACCTCTCCAGCAAAAGATCCGCGTGGTGCTTCTGGAAAATCAACATCGGCCTCAACCTGACTGCCCTCTCTCCCGACCCCCCGATGTTGACACCCTCACCCTTCGCCTTCCTCAACACCTCATCCCTCCTCACACTATCAAACGCAATAAACGTTCCCTGTCCCTTACCCCTCAGATTCTGAATCTCCTGCGGAAACCTCTCGCTCAAGCGCTGCAAGCCCGCAAAGAGATAATCCCCCGTCACCGCCGTACTATTCACAAGATCCATCCTGTTGATTTCTTGAATGATGGACCTGAACAGAATTGCCCTTGCCGGATCACCCATCCAAGTATTAAACTGGCGATACGGTTTATTCGGCCTAAGCGCATTATCACCAAAGTAATACCCCGCCGTCTGTGCTTTCTTGCTGAAAGTAACCATATCAGGCGGCGCATCCAACCCCCAGTGTTCATGCGCCCAGAACTTGCCGGTCGCGCCGACGCCCGTTTGCACTTCGTCGACGATGAGGAGGACGTTGTGTTTCTTTGTGAGGGCGCGCAGGCCGCGGAAGAAAAAGGGCGTCGCGTGGTTGTCGCCGCCTTCGGATTGGATGGGCTCGATTACCACGGCTGCGGGCGGGTTGTGGTAGTTCAAGAGGATGGACTCGGTTTCGTCGAGGCAGCGCTGCTCTTCTGCTGCGTTTTCGGCTTCGTGTTCATGGAGGGGGTATTTGAGGACTGGGAACGGGGCTTGCGGCCAGTCGAAGGCGGGGATGTCGAGCTTGTGGATGGGTTTGGAGCGCGTGGTTGAGAGACTGCCGAAGAGGCGGCCGTGGAAACCGGTCTTGAAGGAGAGGATCGACATGTCGGGTGCGCCGGGCGCTTTGTTGTTCATGGACGAGGATATGTCTTCGGCGGAGAAGTCGGCGTCGATGCCGCCGCGTTGTTGTTGTCGCTTCCACATGAAGGCGGCTTTGTAGGCGAGCTCGTTGGCGTCGGAGCCGGCTTGCGCGGTGAAGACTTGGTTGAGGCCTTTGGGGGCGACGGATAGGATGCCCGTTTCGAGGATGTCGGCCCAGTCGTGCTGGGGGAAGTTTCCTAGTGCCGGCCGGTTGATGATGGCGGAGGCCATGTCGGGGGAGGTGGCGGCGAGCAGGAGGGACGGGTTGTTGTAGCCTACGGGGATGGACGCGATTTGGGCGTATACGTCGAGGAGGACGTTGCCGTCGAGGTCTGCGATGCTGGAAGATGTCAATTGGTATTCTTTCCTGGATGTATGGAGGACGTACTAGTTGCCATAGCTTTGCGAGTAGTCGGCCATCATGTTCAAGCTCCTGGTGTCAAACACCTTGCTTAGTCTCTCAATAGCCTTCTTGCTCTCCGGACCGGGTATTTGAGTCTTCACAGTCGGCTGGCGAGGCTCATCTGGGAAGAAGGAGTGCTCGCCGCTGTCTGGAACAGCAGCAGCTGCTGCGGAAGCATGTCTTCTCTGTGTTGCAATTGATACCTTTGAGGTCACACGGGCATTCGTACGGAAAGCTGGGGCTCGAATACGCCCGGCACTGCGAGCGAGAGACGCCATCGTGGTCGTCGTCAGGACAGTTGTTGTCGGTAGAAAGACAGCTGTGTTGACACTGCGGGGAGCTAATGCGGGGAGACGCGACGCGTAAATGTGAGCTCAGCCTCACCACACACAAATACGGCGTATGTCGAAGAGGACAAGAAAACAGTAAAAGACGAGAGATTTGCAGATGAGTAAGAGCGATATCGCAACTTATAGCAAGTCCAATCTGTTTATCTATGCCGTGATATCGCTGATAGAGCTCCATGGTCAACCGGCCCTAACCCGTTGCTATCCCCGCAAAAGCTCGTCCAAGCGAGCCCCTCCAGGGCTTGACCCACTTTCGAGCTTGTCTAAACCAACTCCAATCTGGCAATGTGATCCGCTACACGCTGCAGACGCCGTGCACGCCAGGTCCATCTTCCACGTTAGTCACATCGAAACCCTTCTTGAGATTTTCGAGGTACGCGTCCGAGTCTCGCTGTCCTTGCTCATCCACAGAAAGTGCGGCTGCGCCATGATCCCAGATATCGTTCAAGTCATATTCCGGAAGCGCTCCGGTGTTGCAGTCAACGTTCTTTGACTTCACATGAACAATATACAACTCACTTCTCGTTCCGGCCTGCCCATATTGGAACAGAAAGTCGTTACCGCTCTCCTCCGCATTCCGCATGCGCCACTCATCGTCCTGATCTTCAAGCTCGAAACCGCCTTTGGGCTTTACAAAGTCAGCCTCGCCGATGTTCATATTCCAAGCCACGGTAGCAGGCTCCAGGATGACGTACCTACAGACTATGGGGTTCTTTACATGCGGGCTCGATGTCGAAGGTACCTAGATCGTTCTTTTGAGTCGGCGGCTAGGTACCGCTGAGGTAGATGAGATTTGCTTGGACCCAAATTGCGTCAGGCGTTGGCGGGCATTACCGAAAACAACCTAATCTAGGTAGCGAGGCGGATAAGGCTGAGCGAAGAGGCCGCCCGCGGGAGAATATGCTCGTATATGCTGATGCTGAAACTGAATGTCTCCCAATCGCTGACCGTGACGCGACGGGGCGAAGATCACGGCCTGTAGGTACGCGCGTAGACCTAGGTGTAAGCGCCCCAATCCTTCGCGACAAGATCTACGTCAGCCGGGAGGCACAGCATTACACGTTTTTTTCCTCTTCGAGAAGATTGTATTTCCGTGCCACCATCTTACATCTTTGGCTATCGAGACATGGGATAGGCCTGTTACTGTAGTCACATCGAGTATCGTTCAAGGTAACTTTGGGGCCATCCGTAAGAAAACAGGTTTGGCAACTGGTGTTTGAAATTGGACGCCTCGCCGTCTTACTGTTCTTCACCCACGCGTTTTCCTTTGAAACAACTCTTACGAAAGATGGCTGATTGACACGCCTTGGCCCCTCATAGCCCATGCATGATTTCACATCTTTCATATACTTTCGTTCCAGTTCAGAGCGTCGTTGACCTCATAGCCACTTCGGCGCAGCGTTCCATAGCTGCAGGGCGTAAATGCTGACAGGAACGCAGGGCAGTCAGCAAAGGGATACACGCAAGGCACCGAAAGTCATGGAGAGCTATGGATGAAGAAACTTGCATTACGATGTCTACGGCGATCTCCCCGCATAATCCATCGCTTGCGTCCACCGATTAGCATGAATGTGAGCTTCCACGCCCACACTTTCCACCTCGGCGCGCAAGCTCTCGCATCGGGCTTTCAAAGCTTCGTCGGCAGACCAATGACAAGACATGCGTATTTCTTTGAGGCAAGGTAACTGCTCGTCCTTTTTCTCAGCAAAGCCGTGAAACATGGTTTCGAGGGTTTGCTTGTGCTGTTGCGGTCTCCCCTCAAATACTTGAACCCCGTCGATTGTCTCTGACAAAGCCGTGGAGTTGGTGTCATTGTCGCGACTTTTCCACTCCTCTGATGTTAGGAACAACCGAGTGACCGAAGCGGGGACTAGGCCACACATCAGAAGATTGACATGAGACTGATCTGCAGGATCCGTTCCGAGGTGGGCGGCGGATCTAATGACGCATGTCGCAAGGTCAAGAGGGATCTCAAGCTTGTGCAGACGCGGGAAGTCGCGCATGGTCGCTGTTCCAAGCGCGATCTTGCCGCTGAATTCGCGCTTTGTGATAGACAGCTCTTCGAGATGGCTGCCAGCCTCCTTGCCGATAGTCGTAACGAGGTCGCAAATATCCCAAACTCGACTGAGTTGCTTGTCAGAGTGGGAGTAAACGAGCGTTTTCAGGCGCGGCGTGTAGCGTAGGAAGTGTTGCATAGCGGGACCATCGAGGTTGCAGCCGCGCAGGTAGGCTACTTCTAGTGTTCCGCCCACAGGGGGCGGCATTGATTGACGTGGAGAAGAGGGCTCTGAAGCTTCAATGTCGGATATAGAGGTGGGGCCGTGGAACGTGTGGATGCGTGGAAGGGCCAGGAGCGGAGTAATCTTGTTCAGGACAAGACCTTGCCGCATTGCATATGAGAACCCAGTCTTCAGGGTGGTCACCAATGCGAGACTGGCATTGGTCAAAGTGACGTTGGGTTGACGCGCGTGGTGGACGATGGCCTCAAAAAGCTTATCGGTTTCTTTGTCGTGAGTCCAGCGAAATGGAAGAACCACGGTCTTGACGTTGGGCAGCAGTGTTAGGAGAAAGGAGGAGGCAGCCTGGGTATACAGGTTGTCTTCCAGACCTCGTTCATACTTTTCGAAGTAGTCCTGCCACTCGTTGCCTGACAAGTACTTGGAACTGGCAAATAAGTCGCGAACGGTCTCAGGACGATAGCCATCCCTTTCCATGATCCAGAGGCGTCCGCCAACAGGGAGCCGAAGGTCCGCCTTGAAATCTGCATGCTCGATGTAGCGCGCAACAACTGGCTCTTCAGCGATTCGGGCTATGAGTTCAAACGGCGTCCTGATGGTGAGGGAAGGGTATTTGTCCTTGAGAAGATAATCGAAGTTGCGAAAGTGCGAGCGGAGTTCGTTGTGGTGCTTGAGCAAGGGCTTGCAAAGCGTGTGGAACTTGCGGCAGGACAGACATAGGCTCTCGAAACCCTCTGGAATCGTATGGTCGACGATGAGCGCGAGGAGTTCGTCGGCTAATTCCAGTAAAGCCATAGCGACGTTGTAGACGACTTCGTGAGAGCAAGAACCCTGGAAACAGTGGGATATGCAACGTCTAGTTACGAGGAGAATGCGACTTTGACTCAGCTTGGGGTCTGAATTTGGTCCGGGCTGGCCATTGAAGGTGTACTCTTGAGGGACGCGGTATGATTACAATAGCCTTGGGGTAAGTCTAGTTAGGCACACAGTATCAAGCGAGAGATTTGGGGTCCGCGATATGTATAGCAGACGTTGTCTCGGGCTGACGTCATGCCCCTGGGACAGACCCTGCTGAAGCCTTTAGCGACTAAGGAAGGGAGGCCATTGGACGGCCCTGCCCAGGCTTACTACCTCGCCAAGCCGGCCTCGCCCTACGCTTCAGGTTTATTCTGAACCGACTCCTACTCCTCCCCAAACCAACTCAACAGACAAGAAAAAGCGCCTTTGACTCAGACGGGGCGTTCACAATCCTGCTTTGCGACTTACAGTGATCCAGACTGGGGCCTTGTCTCTCCCTCAACCAATTCCTCTTCTCCACCATCGCTTCATCTTCGCCCCCAAAATACACAACTTTCCACTGTCTTCGTCATGTCTCCTTCGTATTCGTATTTTGATCATCAGCTTCTTCTAAGCAAAAGCCTCCATTGCAACAAGATGGGGCGGCCGTCTGCCCGCACCATGCGAGCCATGAGGAAGTCATTCTCGGAGATGCTATTTCCAGCATTCAATCTCAGCATGAGGGGGCTCAATGCGATCGTCAGCATTGGTACTTATCTCCATTTCAGGGCTACAAAGAGGACATGTTTTGGCTCTCTTTTCAACACAAGTCATCACAGCCAGTTTCTCACTGCTTCATCATCACCTCTATTATCGTTAACTCCTACTTCCTTTATCCGTTATCAATTTCCCTACTCTTCGCCATGCGCGCCAAGCGAGCCTCTGCGATGCGGTTCCTACTATGTTCCTCAGTTGTCCTTACAGCGTCTGCAGCTGTGATCCGTACGCCTCTGCAACGGCGCCTAGAGGAATGCCAGCTAGACATCCAAGATGGAATGGCCGACGATCCCGACAGAGTCAATACGGACGGGACGGCCGGGATTGGTGCCGAGTTTGAGAGTCCGGACTTCCGCCTTACAAAGTCGGGATGTAGCGCAGACGATACAAACGCCGCAAAGAGAAAGGTCATTGCCGAACGAACAGGCACGAACTGGGAGCTCACTGCAGACTCTGTCAACGAACCTGGAGCACTCCAGGCTGAGTACATCATTGATGGTGTCAAGGTCAAAGTAGGCAGCACAGATGATGCGACCAACGGCGCGAAGGTCGCGGCAGCTATGGCCCAGGATCTCGTAGGTGCCACCCAGCAGACCCGTGATGAATCTTGCTAACCCCTTCAGATTGACTGGTACCCATGGAACGGAAAACTGGACGCAGATTCACGAAAGGTCAACGTAGCCGAAAACAAATGCAATAAGTGGACGATCATCACCCGCCAAGATAGGAAACCAGAGAAGATATCTTACCAGCCCCAAATCACCACGCCGATGCCATTAGAGGCACTGTACAGCCTGATGAAGGAACAATTCGATGAGAGCGATCCAAATATCCTCAATGGGCTCGATCGTTTTCAAAACAAGAAGCTTGATTTCGTAACGAAGAATCACTTCCAGTCCAGCCCAGGCGGCATCGGTCCGGAAGCGGCCACGGATGACGTGCTGGCCTTTTGCACCCTGGTCTTATCGTACGCCAAAAACGCAAAGGATCCTCTACAACCGGGTTCAAGTCCCAAGATCTTCACATCGTTCACGCCTCGAACGAATTTTAACGTGATGCTGTCGCATGTCAGCTCCAAGTTGGCATCAAAGGGGGACAAACTTTGGGATTTGTTCAACATCCTTGCGTGCTACCAGAGTGGCGGGACCGAGTAAGTTATGGCTTGACCTATAGATGGTTTGACCAGTCTAACCAAACGTAGAATTGATACAGACGTATGTGGAGGTACCCCCGAAAGTCCCGAGCCTACCGACAACAAATTTGGCGACTACACTTTTGCTCAAGGCGATACCAAATGCAACATCCGTGACTGGATCCATGGTCTAGACCCAGAATCAGATGAAAACGATAAGCTCACCGAGTTCGACAAGGAAATCGACGGGTCTATTGGAAGACTAGGCAAAACTCAAGAAAAGATGTTCAATTCTGAGCGCTCTGTGCCTCTCTTCGAATTCCGCGATCTCAATACCCTCCAGACTGAAGGAATGGAGAAATTCATGGGCGATGTAGACCAGGCCATCCAAGACCTCCACAATAAGTTTCGAGAATCACCTACAAAGAAGGCCAGGCGTGGCGTCTGCGATGATTTTGAGCCGGAGCCGGAGCAAGAGCCAGAGCCGACTGGCCCGACCAAGCAGCTCGCAGTCCTCGGTGCCTATGTCCCAGGCGCCCCCACGATGGACTGGCTCTTCCTCGAAGCCGACTTTGAAAAGGGCGTCGAGTGCCGCGAAGACTTCCTCCGACCCTTTGAGACTGTACCGTGGGATGAGTCTGGCACAACGTACCCTGGCGGCACCAAAGAGCTCGATCTCGAGATTGACGGAGAGGTGTGCGAGTACCGCAATGACGGCGACGATCCGGGTGCGCTCTGGTGTGGCGAGAGGGTCATTGGCTGCGTGAACGATCCGGCCGACAAGGATCCCAACGATGTGAATGCGGAGAAGGGCGAGTACCAGTGCGGCGATTACACGCGACAGCCTGTGTTTGTCTGCCCTTGGTAGTTGCGCAGTACATGACTTTGTTCGGCATCTCTAGAACGTTCCGCACACGCGATATTGGGAGGCGTTCTTGGGTCTTTTGTATGGTAGTTCTGTCGCTCTCTTCGTATTTGTGTGTTGGTGTTAGTGTTTCGGTGGCTCAGGTGGTGCGAGATCGGGGTCTGTGCTCGACGCTAGATTCCGGCGGCAGAAGATGGATCTCAACACCATCATGTCGGCACCACCTCACCTATCTTGTAGAATTATGTAGAACAAGAATCTTTTTATCAAGGCCTGTTCCCCCAGCTTTGCTATCATGCACTTTCTACATGGTCATGCAGTCAGCTTACACGGCTAAAAGCGCGACGGCGCGTGATTGCTGCATAGGTAGTACCCCGCATCGTCTCAGCAGCCTTGGGCGACAACACAACCTCGTCTGTCTAGAATGTATCCTTATCTCTAGACGACAGTCATCGAGCGAGATTAAGAATTGCGCGAAATTGCAACGGCCAGATATCATGCGCGATGTGCGAACGAGAACCAACAAACCAGAGTGAACTGGACGCGGACCATATCATCGGAGAGCCGCCAACGGAGCCCGCGATATACGAGCACCAGCCACTCAATCATTCCTGGGACGAGATACGATTGATCAAGCTTCGAAAAGAGAGGGAAGGGCCTTTGCGCTGCAAAATCCAGATCTTTCCACTCAACAATGCTCCACGATACATTGCGCTATCCTACCGATGGGGCCCTCCGTCGCCTTTGCATAACCTTCTCGTTGGAAACAAAGCACTCAAAATCCGGGACATCCTTAATTCGTGCCTACTTGAGCTGCGAGAAGATGTAGATACATGGCTGTGGATCGATCAAATCTGTATCGCGCAGGGGGATACCACGGAACGAAACCACCAGGTCGGAATGATGTCGCGCCTATACAGCAACAGTGCTTCTGTCATTGTTTGGATAGGCGACATACCTTTAGCAGCTCCAGGGAATGTTGATCGGTTCACCGACCAAAACCTCGATAGTGCGTCGGCCGTGGCTTTGTTAAATAACAGTTACTTCACGCGACTGTGGATAGTGCAAGAAGTATTGCTTGCAAAGACCGTCAAAATCCATCTCAACGGGAATCGCTGCGTTACATGGAGAAGACTATATGATGCATACCTGTCGGCAGTCCCGGGTTCTATCATTCCCACCGCGTCCTCGTACCTCCTAAACAACCCGATACATGAAGGGGATAGAAGTGCGTTGGCGTGGACAACATGTATCAATGGCTTCTCTGCAAACGCATGTGAGGATCTTCGAGACAAGGTGTATGGTATGATGGGCGTTGTAAGGGAAGAAGACAAGCTCACAGTGGACTATCAGAAGAGTGTCCTTGAAGTATATACAGACGTGTTCAGCAACATGTGGGACTTGGGGGGTCCAATGCATCCGAATCACATGGCAGGTCATCTTCGCACGTTGGGTTCCCAGATGGGTATCGAATTATCACTGATAGCCAGCTTTGAGCTTGTACTTCACCATCGATATGAACAAAGCTTACAGGATCGAGTATCAGCCATACGGTTCAAGAAAGCAGATGATGTAGATAAATACGATCATTGGTGGTATGAGTGCGACGGTAAGAGACTCTACTTTTGTCCTTCACTTATGTAGATGCCCTCGCTCCCTGTTTACTTACCAGCACGATTCCTAGACAGATAATGCAATGTTCTCCTTGTAGGTTCGCCGCATCGTGAAACACAAGACACCGACACTTACTCTAGTCCTGGAACAGGTTTACCTAGTAGTAGAAACTTTCGCGATGATACTTTCCGCCGAGCTATTGCGCATAGCCATAGTTCGGCTCGAGCAGATGGTGCAGCTTTGCTCCGCTGCCTGCTGACAACGCATCCATGCATGGCGGCGGGAAATCGGCATTCACGGACGAGCATCTACAAGCCGGTAACACGAGGAGGTCCCAGTATATGGCCTTTGCTCAGCTTCCTGTCAGTAAAGCCTGGAAGAGCTTTTGTGCATGTTGGCAGAGATCTCAGAGCGGTCAGTACAGCATCACAAATAACCATGCTCTCTCCTGGGGCAAGTCGAGTGCGCGCTCCATCACCATCATGACCAACTGAGCAGTGATAGGAAAAGGTAAAAAGCAAGCTTCTTCCTCAAGCGACTGGCAAGCCAGAAGTCTCAATGAAAAAGTGGTCGCGTCAGCCAGAGATAGTGCGATACTGGCGACACTGTGGTCCGGAGTATGAGCAAGCCCAGGGACCCAAGACCTGAGTACAAAAATAAGAATAATCTTGAAGTCACCGTAGTGACCTAGGAGGAGTTAGCGCGATGCCGAAAAGGGTAATGAGGGAGAGAATGCTTACGTTTCAGAGATTAAACTGAAAAGAACAGATACTACACTTGATCTGGGGGGGTGAGTCAGCAGGTGTCTCGAAGGTGTTTGTAGAAGGGGTACGTACCTAAGCCAAAAGGCAAAGAGAGCTAAGGAGCGAAGGAGGGGACGGGCTGCGCGAGGTTGATATGGGCGCTGCAGGCTTGGCGCGCTAGCGGTCACATGATCGCTTACTAGCGCTCCAAGCACGCTTTGGCCCTGTGAAGGTGGGTGACCATGGACCCTGCACCGACGTTTTGCCGGCCGGGCGCAGCGGCGATGACGGCGGTGCCTTGAGGCGAGCAAGACGAGTTTGTCCTGAACGCTCCCGCTCTGCGTATACTCCCCAAATGAGACGACTGCGACTGACACCTTCGCTCGCAACAAGAACTCGGACGGTGCTCACCTGAAGCCCATATCAACTGCAGACTCCTTCTCGCATCCGAAACGTTGCCGCAACATTCGAATACTCCGGCTTCAGATCCGCTGTCTTGATAGCTAACAAGATCGCTTTGGTCCCGGTGGATGTCCTTCTACGTGCGCTACCCACCACTGCTTCCGAGCTCTCCACGCCGCTCCAAGGGTTAGGAGCGCCCTCGCATTCCACCGAGAACAGAGGAACCTACAACGATCGTCCAGCTGGCATCTGCGAACACCATATAAACTACTGCGTGTGGCCGTTGCAAGTTCTAAACACCGTTCCTGATTGGTACACGTCTCTGCTTATGTGCATCATGCGGGAAGCTGAACGTGTCAATGGCCAAGCATTTTGCGCGCAAAGCCCCACGGCTGAGAGTTTGCGCAAATTTGCGCTTTCAGGTTGGGTTCTCGGACGACTCGGCACATATCTAGAGGTGATGTTCGTGTGGTGGATACGATTGTAGCCGTTTCATTGACTTCGGGGCCCAACACATACGCCACTCCGATATACCGTTATCATGGAAGACGCATCAAGTACAACCAACCACTGGCGATGCGCGCAATGCGTGGAAAGCGTACTCTACTCGTTCGCGAACGGGCACATCGAACACGTGCGCATGTGGAAATGCTGCCAATGCGGATTCGCTGAGAATCGTGCCTCCCTGTGGGATGCATGCTCCATGTGCGACTCTACCATTCTTTTGGAGAACTACGCTTGTCACTACCCCTCCCCAAAGTTGTTCGAGGTTGCGACAGAAGAGGCGATGAGTGATAATGCAGCCTACAACCCTTCAGACGTCATTAGTGTGGAAGCGCCAGGAATGGGCACTTTTCCAGGAATACATGCCTCGGATGATTTTATCTCTATGATTCAGCGGAACATGCCGTTATTGGGACCGGTCTTTGGTGGTCACCAGCAACTCCAAGACGTGTTGGTGCTTGATGGATTTGATGAAAAAAGCATGCTCACCTCCATTAATGACTTGGATTATACTGGCCTCGAGGCTGATGGAACGGACCAGATCCGAAGAAGCCACGCTAACCTCCCGACACCGTACGAAGTTAATGATCCAGTCACTGCATACTCCCACGGTAACCTCGGAGTTACAGCGACCACTTCAAGCGACGCGTCGTCCTCAACAACGTCGGCCCCAACGAAAACCCATTCAACACCATCCACACTCACCGCCATGACGCAATCAGATCTCGACAGCGGCTACGGCACCCAAGGCAACATATTCAAAGCAGATCAAGCATCACGCAAACGCGCAAACGAAGATGACGACCATATACCGCCCAGATCAGACACCACTAACAACAATACGAGCCCACCGCCCCGCAAAAAGACCCGACGCCGTCGTTGCGACCCCATCAATCCCGGTCTCGCATGCCCCTTCTACGTACGCAATCCAAGCCGCTGCGAACACAACTCTTGCGTCGCACCCGGCTTCCTCGACATCCACAGACTCAAACAACATCTCGAACGCGTGCACCTGTACTACATATGTGAACGATGCGGGGCTGCATTTCAGGCAAACGCAACAGGAAGACAAGACTTAGCCATGCATCAACGCAATACTCAGCCATGCCAGCTTGTGGAAAAGCCAAGCGCAGAAATCTCGAGTCTGAGCCATGCGACATTTGAAGTGATGCGGTCCAAGAGAGGTGCAGCGGGGAAGTCGAAAGAGGAGCGATGGCGTGAAATCTACCAGCTCATATTCATAGACGCCGACGAGAAGGAACTGAGAAGAGCTTGTGAGTTTTATGCCTCCCTATTATTGTATTGGCCTACTAACCGTGATTGGATGTCGGCACGAAAAGCCCAGTACCGGGATATCCAGATCGCGATGATAGGTTATCGCAATGCGAAGAGATGCACAACATCTCTCGACAACTGCTTCGCGTGTTACCCGAACGATTGGACGCATCCATCAAGAGCCGCTTGCACGATGACAGGCTAGCCGCGATATGGCGTGAATTTGCGGATGACCAATTACACGACTTGATAGAAACTCTCCTTGCCGACTTGTCTTCACGAGGCCACACAAAGGATCGAGATAAAGCGTGTGACAAGACTGATGATCTGTCTTGGTTTGATTTGGTAGACTACAACAAGCTGTAACGAGCATCACACTTGGCCCGCCACGATTTCGTAACTCGACCCTGCCAATTTTCCGAATTCCCCCTCCCAAATCCCTCTGGCAAAGGCATAAAGTCTATCAAGCCTACACTGCATCATCCACCGACATCCAGTTTTCTCGAGGTTGAAACTCAGTGGCGTATTGGCGTCGCACCCATGATCAAAGACATCATTGTAAAGGTCTTTACCCTCCTTGCTGAACGCAAGACGTAATCTCTGCTGGAAGGCTGTAGCATAGAGGGTTTTAGCTTCCTCATTGTGTCGGCAATGTGTCCCCAAAAGCCTCCCGAGTTCCACTTCGTATAGCTCCTTCTCATACGCGATAGCCTTTTCCCACGCATCTGGGTCCGATGTAGTAGTCCTGGTGATGACACCATGCTCAGCCTTGACCAAATTCGCGCGTATGCCTTCCTCCGCAATCTCGTAGAAAGATGGACCTGGATCTTGATGCCGCCGTACGTATCTCTCCTCCATGAACAGTGCATCCATCAAGGCTTTCCAGTCGCATGTAACTCGGCAACTGAAACGCCCGTCTTGCTCTTGTGCAGGAAACTTAAGGTCGAAAGCACGCGTCTCCGCACTACCGACGAAAGTATACCGTCCATCCGGCGCATCAAACCAGATGGCCTGTACAAGTTCTTCAAAGCCATAGCCAGCTGTCCACATAGCTACGTCACCGTACGCTTTGATCCACGTGGCATCGTGCTCCAACCTCCCACATGAGGCAGTATCTTGCCACAGGGTAGACCGTTCCTCCGGACGCGGCTGGCCTGGACGCAGAAGGAGAGAAAGCGTTGAAGATTGTGGGTCAATGGAATGTTCGTCTGTGGTAGCGACGAGGTTTTTCTCTATCCGACCAAATTGAATGTGGGTCCACTCGATGTGAAGGATGGGAAGAAAGGTCGCTCGGAATGTGCGCTCGGCCTCTTTTCTCCACGCTTGCGATACTTGACGGCATGTAACTCAGAGCACGAATGGGTCGTCGACGCTTTGGAGGACTTGTATGAACAACTCGTCCGGAAGGCGGGGTAGGCAGGTGGTGGCCATCTTTGACCTGGTTGTAAAAAAAGAATGATATTGCTGCGAGTCGATCTCGAGTTTCCAAGGTGGACATCGCGTCAGCTTTAACGCGCCATACTCGTAAAAGAGGATTGCTGCCTGTTAAGCGAAATGCAACCTTGGAAGGATGCACTTCTTGCCGTGTTTCGGTCTGCAGCGTCACGCATCATCAGCGCTAAATGAGAATGTGATTAGGCTTCTACAAAGGTTCGTAAATAGGCGGAAGATATTGCGAGCTTTATCGCCAAAGTCTACGACGGATGCGGCGTTTGGCAGTCCAGGCTGTCGTGGCGGAGTGGACGTTATAGATAGAATAAAGAATAGAAGAACTGCGCGTAGCGCGGTAACGTTTTAAGAAACTAGGCTAAGCACTATAGAGAGTGTGCGTACGACATAGTCGCTCTAATAGACTAGACTGAGCACTATCGCTCGTATACAGAGCATAAGAGCTTACGCTACAAATGGAACTACTCTCCTCGTGTTCTTCAAGGCCGGGTCTTGCAACTGGGGACTTTTTTCCAACCCGAGTAATTCCCTGATCGCATGAGTCTGATAGACCGTGCCGTTGCTCATAGAGTAGAAGATCGCATCGTCGTAAGAGGCAGTTAAATTACGCGTCGCAAGTACAGTGCGGCTACCATCTGCTAAGAGAAATTCGCGGCGGAGATGAGGAGGGAAGTAGTCGGCTGGGTCTGCCTTGTGTAGCCCCCATCCGTCGTCCTCGGTAGCGTTTGAGTCTGCAATCTGCGTCAATAATGATCAGGCTCAAATATAGATGTAGCATGCGCCTACCTCTGCTATGAAGGTTGTAATTTCCATTGCCCTGGTACACGTACTGGTACCCATCGTTTGCACCACCTCCATCAAGACAGTATGGACTGGGCACTGGTTAGCCAAATGAAACGAGGAGACTGGGGAGCACGAAATCTTACGTGTTGCCTGTACCGGGATTTCCGAACGTAAGATCGAAAGTGCAGGGTTCGTTGCCGCAGGTGGAACTGAAGAATCCACTCAAGCGACTACCCTCTGCCGTGTTCTCCCCCGACTCGGTGCACCGAAGAAGTGCTCCACTGCCGCCTTCGACAACGGACGCGTAAGGATATTCGTCACAAGTGTCCTCGTCAGGACCCGGCGTTGCCATCTTGCCATTGCGACATGGCGTAGGGGAGACACAACCAGCCGCCCTCCGACGTGCGGCAGACTGACCATCGGGCCCATTGTAGTTAAGGATCTGAGGACAGAAGTCAGCGCCCAAATATCCTCCTGAGCTAGGCGATCCTTCCATACCCTTGGCTTGTTAGCGACATATATCGCGTAGCAGTCGTTGTTGCAAGGCCCCGGATACTCGGAACAATCCAGGTTCAGCATATACTGCTGGCCGAGGGCAAATGGGACAAGAGCAATCAATGCGAGAGCGAGCATACTGGGTGGTCTCAATCGGGAAGACCAAAAGAAACTGTACAGACACAGCTGATGAAGAACGTGGAAAGAGGTGTCGTAGAATGAAGATCTCGGAAGAAAGTGGAAGGAAAGTTTAAAGCAAGCCAGGCCACTTCTTATACGTAGCAGTGACATGATGGGGTTCAAAGTCAATTATCAGGCGTCCCGAGCTAACAGAATTGGAACGTGTGTTGTCATATGTACATGTATCATGTGCTACTAACGCATTGCCGATCGAGAGTGATAAGGTGGAGGAGGAACGTATGTCACATTTTAGCATGGAGAATGTACAGTGGCGTACGTAAGATGAACCATGCAGGCTGAAGTAAGTGAGATGAAGGATGTGGGGTAAAGTATATTTGCTGATGTGCCATGCTTTACAGACTAGAAATCTTAGTTATGAGCAGGCTGTGAAGATACGTTGTACCGCTATCCACAAGCTTTGCAAACGTTGAACGCGTCCGCGGGTAGTTGGGAGAACGCTGGATAGTAGGTACAGTATAAACCGGGTTGTATAGTATGAACTCAACCGGTCAATACGATCTGCAAATGTTGCGAGGACTAGAACGAATAGACGCTTGCGATTCGATGCGCGGGCATGAGGGATGTTTTCCAAGCGCTTACGTGCAACCACGCCTGATTGGACCCGATTACGCCCAGTTTCGCCCAGTTTCGCCCGTTTTCGCTCATTTTCGCTCAAAGTCGCTAGCTTGGTGGTGCAGGAAGCCCGATGAGGGAGAAAAGGATCGGCGCGGGAGGGGCGGGGTACCTAAGCAGGCGGCCGTGATAGCCGGAAGCTAGCGGGGAGTTACCGTAGCGTGCCCCGCACGCGGAATGATCCTTCATCAGGAAACATTAGAAACCTAAGAGGGGAATTACGTCACATTGCTAAAATCCCACATGCTGTGTTACACACGTTCTCCTTCGATCACGCCGAATGTTCATACCACTGTACTACCGTGAGAGCTTGCTGAATTCTTTCGTCCTGGTCGTTACCTGATCTTTCTGATCTCCCTTCCGCCTAAACTTCGAAAAATGGGTTTAATGTACCCTGTAGTTTGCGCCGCCCGGCTACCCGAAGAGGTCAGTGGGGTGTATCCTCTCCCTAGCTTCGGCTCAGCACTGACTTCAAGCGAGGGTTGCAGACTATAGATCTTTTCATCAAGGAAACTCGCGACGAGGTCGACATGTGGCGAATTGTTTTCGTGGACAGCGTTGACGATTATTACGACGAGGCATCAGGGGTACCAGGACAAGACGGAAGCGACCCAAACTCCCCATTCATTGGAAAGACGCCCCAGGAATGTCACCAACTGCTCTTGAAGCTTCGCGAGGATACAGAGTCGGAAATCTTTACGGACCTTTTTGCCATCATGGACGAGAGATCAACAGAAGACAACACTGTACTGCTCGTGTGCGCAGAGAGGGACTCCGGCGGGGAGAACGAAGTCTTGGCCCTGGCGACTGTCCGTGCTACCTTCAAGGCTGCACCTACCGCGCTAATGCTATATGAAACGGGACACAGCAGTGTAGGGGAGGATGCGGAACGTGCTGCACGTGAAAAAGACAATGTTTATCGTGGAAGGTAGTCTACTCACGCATAACGTGGACTAAATGGCATCGATCGTTTTGCAAGGCCGGAAGAACTATCTTCTAGCGTCCACAGGGGATAGCGATTGAGTGTATAAAGGCCGCAGTACGTTTGGTCGTGCGGAGCGACGTGAGCCGCAACGTTGTCGCTCTGGAGCTCGTAGACCGCACAGAGGCCGCGCTAAGTAGCTTTTGTTGTTGTGTTGGAGGGCGTTGAACGTACAAATACGGTAACGTTCGATTGTGGTGCGACTTGCAACGGTATCGAAACCAAACTTTAGACTGCGTTCAGGAGGACGTATTGGTTAGGTATAGGAGGATGCGCAACAGAGGGGTAACTGACAAACCTCGTCGCGCTAAGTCACATGTCTTCGCGTTTAGCGTGAAACCTCAAATTAGCGTGTAAGCTTCCCCGCGTCTTTTTACTGACACAGCATCCAACTCCAAATTCGAGTATCAGGCTGAAGCAGATCTTGCTGCCATCGACAAAACCATCGTCCATATAACCTCTCTTTCTTCCAATTTACCAGGCAATTTCCCGACTTGCTTCATCCGCGATGGCTGGCCCGACGCCGTCGACCCCATTCCGCTTTCGCGACCTCCCCGGAGAGGTAGGACTCTTCGAATCTCCACAATATGATGCGTGCTGACTCCTATTTCCCGCAGATACGCAACAAGATCTATCGTATCGCATTATGCAGCTTCAGCCCACCACCAACCACCGTCACGATACAGCCCTCGTCCTTTCTCACCGCGACACTCGCAGAACATCAGGTCGAGACCGCGATACTGCGTGTATCCAAAGAAACATACCGCGAGGCTTATAGTGTCATGGTCAAAACCAATCGCTTCATAAAGGTCACATCGTCGCGGGGGCTCCCCATGCGCCTTGCTATGGCAGGCCAAGCGGTCCGGATGATCGCCATCGACGAAGACATTGTTGATAGATTCAAGGGATACGTGCTTGGTGTGCACATTGGTTTCAAACAACCACGATTCGCTCGTTCCCCACTTGACTCTGAGAACCTACGTGAACCTGTCACCGCGATGATTCTTTACAGCGATCTGGACCGGTTTTGTAAAGCATTAAACGATGGGGATTTACATGATCCGGGGTTCAGCGAAAAGATCAAGATCTCAATCACCATGGCGCCCGTCTTAGACGTTGCGTCAAGTAACACACAATCACCCGACCTCAACGGTTTCTTTACCAAAACCACGCAGGAAAAACTGTTCATGCCGTTCATGGCCAATCTGTTTGGATACAGGGCCGTCGAAATTAGTGGCCATGTCGACAATGCTCTGGCAGCTACCGTTCGTCAAAGTCTTGGGCAAGACAGATGTTTCAATCCGGCGGCTGTTCTCGCCGAGTTTGCGGCCGCGAAAGATCGCGGGTCACAACAGTTTAAAGACCGCCAATTTGAGGAGGCCGTCATTGGTTGGCAGGACGCCGTTTACGATATGGAGCAGCTACGTGAGTCCAGTTCCTGGCCAAATCTGATTCGCAAGGGAGGTGATGCATTCGTTGCGGAAATCGCTCCGCTATACTTTCTGATGCAGCTTAACATCGCCCACAT